GGAATCTAGGGGTAGCAGTTCTGAAGTTATTTTATGTGCATTGTGAGGTTGAGTGGACCCATGAATACACTGATGCTTCAGGGAGTGACCGCTTCTCAGAAAGAAGAAAGGTACAAACAAAGTAAGGCAAGAAAACTCATGTACTGTTTTGATATCATGATAAGCTCCTGCTCCTTAAATATGTATGATTTCCCAGCCTTCTGACCCAAAGGTCCCGAGAGTGGCACCCCAAAAAGCACTGAGCACACCAAGCCCCCCCGCTCTTGGTTCCTAATGTCATTCCTCACTAAAAGGAACTGGACTCCCTGAAGAAACAGCCAATTTGAAGCCGGGGTGGGGTGGTAAAGAGCCAGGAGCCATGGCACAGGTCTATAATCCCAGCTACTGTGGAGACCCAGACTGGAGGATCACGGGTTCAAGGCCAGTCTCAGCACTTAGTCAGACCCTGTCTTAAAATGTGAAAACAAACCCAGGGCTGGGACATGGATGGGTGGTAGAGTGCTTCCCTAGCATGGGTGAGGCCCTGGGTCCCATCCCACAAGGACCAGCTAGAAGAGCTTCCTGATAGTCAAATTGAGGACAGTATGATCACCAAAGTGAATGATTCAAGCAAAGTCACGTGACAAGATGAAAAAAAAAACAACTTTTTTTAAGTATGAGTCCATGCTGATATTTCTAAAACTTAACAAGAGAAATAAGGTTGGCTTCAGTAGCATCCCCATTTGTACATGAGGGTGGCACGTGTCAGGTGCAAGCGAGCATCACAGACGACAGAACCTCCCCCTAGACTATCTGTGAATTACAAAGAGATAAAAACTTCCTAAAACGGCAGGTTCCCCCTGAGCAAGCGATGGAGGCCGAAACCGCCAATCATCAGGCAGGTGGACTCCAAGGGCCCGTGTGGAAGGCTGAGCTAGCCTCTGCTTCCTTCGGGTAGTGCTCCCGCTGAGAATGCGTAACCCGGATCCACTCACAGGGACACCGTGGGACAGTCTACAAAACCACTGACTTCATAGTTCAAAAACGCCAACATGAAAGATTGGGGGGAAAAAAGCATCGGAGCTATATAAAAGACGAAAGAAAAGCGCTGCAGAGCATCGACTGCACAGACCCACAGAGACAGCGCAGCGCGAGCAGAGCAGGCAGGCAGCAGGCACGGCCGCAGAGGGAGGAGAGCAACAGAACGCGAGAAAGCAGGATTCCAG